CTGGGTCAGAGGGCCCCAACCCGGCAAGGGCGGCAGAGCACCCCCAGCCATGCGGGCACAGACACCAACTGACGCCTCTGGACCATCTACGGCCCGAGGCAGCGCAGTCCTGGGCCCACTGGGGGCACTGGCGACCCCAAACCTCTCCCTCCTGTCAGTGAAAGACCAGGGGACCTGGCACTGTGGCCTTCCCACGGGCAGGGGACGATCCGATGAGTGGCAGGAAGGGGGCATCTCGCTGGGGCCCCTTGTCACCACCAGAGGCAGCTGAGAATCAGCCCTGGCAGAGGCCAATCTTGGGCTCTCTGAGAAGCACTGGGAGACTTGTGACCCCCGATTCATCCCAGGGGGAGCTGGGGTGGCTAGGGTGGGGCGGGGACACGTGGAGCAGGGAAGAGTGGGGTGGCGGGGAGGGGCAGGGTGTGAGGGACAGGTGACGTGACAGGGACAGGAGGGCGTGGGTCAGTTAGTGATGCGCGGCATCTCCCCCTCCCCCCCACCGTGAGGGAGCCCCGGGCTGCCAGGCAGCTTGTGCCAGCGACAGAGCCAAGCTGTCGCTGGTGCCTGGCAGACAGCATGCTGCAGAGTGTTTGCCGACTGCACGCGACAGTTTCCCAGCCGTGAGCTCCGGCTCATACACACGGGAGCGGTGCCCACGGCTGCCCGTCCTGCCAGCAGCCAGCCCGCGGGGCCTCCAGAACCAGCCCAGCACCAGCCTCTGGCCCCCTCCGCACTGCCTGGCACCTGAGTCTCAGCACCAGGAGGCTTGGCTCCCGGTGGGGCCACGTGTGTTGTACATTTGCACAGCCATGTACATACATGTGTATGTGTGTGCATCTGTGTTTTCAAGCCCAGGACTGCACTGTGGGTGCGTGTTGTATCTATGTTCCTGTGTGATGTGCGTGGGTGTCACATGTGTGCCCACACACGTACAGTATGGACGTGTAGGTGTTCATGTGTGCTGTGTGTGTGTGACGCACACCTGAATCTGCATGCACACGGTGTGCACGCGTGTGGGACCCCAGCGGCAGAGGGCGCAGGAGTGATAAGTACCAGGACCTGAGGCAGGCAGTGTCCTGAGCCCCCTTCTTTCTCGGATGGGGGTGGACCTCCAGACCGTGTGAGGACCAGGGGGCTGGTCTGCTTCAGGAGTCCCCCAGCTCCTACCTGCCCCTGGGGTGTATGCAGTGCCCCACTGACCAACACTGTGGCCACCACACCTGCCCCTGTCCCTGTCTCAGCCTCTGTCTCTGCCACGTGGCACCTGAAGCCTCGGCTCCCTGCGGGCTCAGGAGTCTCCAGGGGCAAAAATGTGGTGGCAGAGGCAGCTAGGGTCTCGCCACACCCCCATGGGCAAGGCCAGGCTGCCGGGGGCATCCCCCAGAGAGCGTGTTTGCAGTGGCCTTGGGAGGGGCTCCGAGCCTCCAGGTGTGTCAGGACGCCCACCCCCGCCCCAACTGACCCCTAGGCCTCACCCTGTCCTGAGTGTTACCTGATTCCTTAAGGGGGTGTCAAGATGAGCAAGAGGCCACGAGGGCTTTGCCAGCAATGGTCCTTTGGGGGGCTGGACTTCCCTGGCCCGAGAGAGCTGCCAGTGGCCGAGGCCCAGGTCCCCCAGTCTCTTGGGGTCACTTTCCTGATGAAACCAGCCAGGGCCAGCAGCTCGGGGGCTGGGGCAGCTTCCTAGCCTGGGGGCCTGCAACCCCAGAGCGGAGCACGCTGCATCAGGAGAGCCCCCGGCGCTACCGCTGTGGACGCCCCAATCCTGCCCAGCCCCGCCAATGAGGGATCCAGAAGCCAGGTGAGGGCCAGTCACTGGGTACCAAGTGCTCCTGTGTAGGATGAAGATCTGGAAGGTCCGGAAGGTCCGCAGCAGAGTGAGACCCCAGTGCCGGCAGAGAGGCAGCTCAGGCTGACCCTGCACAGAGGGCCGCTCTGTGAGGCCCACCTGAGATTCAGCCTCCGGGCCAGCTCTGCCGATCCTCCCCTGGGGGCGCGACCAAGCCGGATCAGAGAACCCGCCCACGGGAGGGACTGCGCCAAGCCTTACATGCAATCCCCCCTCCATCCACCTGGGGGCAGACCTGGCCCAGGACACGACAGGGGCAGCGGGGCAGGGGCTCTCCCTGGCAGGGTCCTGGGGGTGAGGGGCTGCCCCCTACTGCAAACAACAAAGGGAGCCCCCAACACCCCAGGGAAGCCTCTCCCCCTCACTAATGCAAACTGCCCTGGTATCAGACCCCCCAACTGTCCCCCTGTAGGACCTTCAGGGTGAGGAGGGGGAGCAGAACCCAGGGATGGCCTTGTCCTGAAGTGTCCCTCGATGTCCCCAGATGATGGGTCACCCGCCCCCACCCCCAATTCCCCTCTCTGTCTGTCTCGAGCAAAGTGAAGGAAACTGGTTTGAACTGACTTTATTATTTTGTAAATGTGAAGTTTACAAAGCGCTTTACAAGTAAGATCACATCCTGCTGTGTGTAAGGAATGGCCACTGGCCACCACGCGGGCGTGTGGCAGCGAGCAGGATACAAGGGGAGGACAGAGCGCGAGCCCGGAGTTCCTCCTTCAAACAGACAAGCAAACAGACCAACAGAAAGAACAGCTCGGCAACGCTGGCGCTCAGAGAACTGGGTTTATTAACAGTCGTGAGCTACAGTACTCGCTACCCCTAGGCTCCCGGACAGCTGACTCCTTTTGAAAAGTCTCTGCCCAAACATTCCGTCCAAAGGATGAATGGCTGTTCGCACCCAGCGCCATCCAAATGTTCAAGTCAAAAATATTTATACATTTTACACTTAGTTCGGGGTTTTTTTTGTCTGCTAAAAATAGTATTGCAAGTTTTGGCTTCTTCTGACATAAAAATTACAATCATGTGCAAAACGCTAGCAATGGATGCGGCTGATCAGAATCCAAGCAGGTCGTCCGATCTGAAAGCCTTTGACTCCGCATTAAGCTTCTTCCCGTTCTCAAACAAACAAATACCAAAAAGACCTTTGCCACTTCTGAAACCTCCAGCCCCAGCCCTGCAGCAGGCTGGGAGGGTCCCTTCAGCAGGGACTTTCTCCAACAGTAGCTAAAGCTCCGGGTGGCCTCTGCTGTCGACTAGAGGGCCCCGGACCCGGCCCACTGTTCGCGTGTCATTCCCACAGTGACCCGTCTGAGCGGCCAGGCCCCACACAAACGGGCCACCCTCCCCCAGAAGCCAGCCCGGGCTCCCTGTGGCATCCACATTCAGGGGCCAAGTGAGAAGCCGAATCCCACGTGAAGTGAAGCACCCGGAGGCCGGGCGCCGGCACAGTGCACAGACAGACAGTTCAAGTACGAGGCGTGCTCACAGTATCTGCCACATCTCCTGTCCCTCCTACTGACCTCCGGCCCTCGAGCCGCCGCAGGCCGTCTTCCTCGAAGGCGCAGGTATGACTTAGCTGTAGAATAGACTATGTAGTATATGCGTATTGCTAATAATCAAGCCGAGGGCGCGAGGTGCGACATCTCCTAAATACTGAGCTGGGGCGGGACAGAACAGGACGGGACCGAGTGTCTTGTAAACAGAGGGGGGAGGGGATGGTTTCCTTAATTGGTTTCCCTTGGGAAAAATGATCCAAAGATGCTAAGGCACTCTGAAGGCCCCAGGAGCCCGGGCCCAACGCCGCCCGCCCCACACAACATTCAGGAACATTCCGGACGCTGAGGGAGCGCCCAGTGAATACAATCAGCAGCTGTGCCCGTCGCCAAGCTCCTGCCCACCGCCGCGGGCACATTAGTGCAAATCCTCCTGCAGCCTGCCGGCCCCCTCTGCGCTGGTGGGGACCCCCACTTCAGAGAGGAGAGAGCTTCTCTGTCAAAGTCAGGTGGGCCCGTCCCGGAAGGTCCCCAGGGAGGGTCAAATTAAAGTGCAGATGGGGGGGGTCGGCGATGAAGGGAAGCTCCAGAGCACAGGCGGGGCCCCACAGCCTGGAGGATTGGTCCCGGGCCCGGGGGCCCAAGTGGGGGGTAGGAGGTACGAGGCTGGGCGGCCCCTGGCAGCCCCTCCAGGAGAGGGAGGCGGGCAGGGAGAGGGTGGCTCCCAGAACCCTGATCACCTTCCCAGGTGCTGGCGGATTGTTCTAGAGGGCTCCACAGAGTGGGTGGGGAGGGGGGAGGAGGCAGATGTGCCCCCGGAAGCCCCACACGGGCTGCAGCGGTGAGACCAGCCAGGCAGGGCTGCCTCAGCGGGCACAGGGGCTCCTCCCCCAGCAGCAAGCCGGTCCCTGCCCCCTGCATCCAGGCAGGGGTGCAGGCTGAGAGCCTCCTCACGGGACTCCAGCCCTACAGCGGGTGTGCAGCCAGGGGGCCTTCAGGGACCTGCCCGGGTCGCAGCAGGCTGAGAGGGGGTGGCAGAATGCCCTCCAACCTGCTTTTCTGTTTTTAAATCTTTTTTGCTTTTTGGGGTCTGAACGTTTCCAAACCATGTATGAAATTGTTCTGAATTAAGACGAAAACAAATAAACAATTCCAAATGGCTGAGGAGGCCGAGGGCGGCCCACAGAGGACTCAGCGCCTGTCAGGGGTGAAGAGACCTGAAGGGTGAGGGGCGGGAGGGAAGGCCGAGTCCCACTCACCTTCCCCTGCTCCACACCCACACACACTCGGCACACGGGCCCACACATGGCACATGGGCTCACACACGTGTCCATGCACCAGCCCATGTCTCTCAGCACATGAGCACATATGCTCACACACAGATATATGCGTGCACAGTACTGTACACAATAGGTACACATGTGCACACATGTACTGCACACAGAGACAGACAGGTACTGCACACAGATGCACACATGCCCATACCTCACCAACAGGTGCACAGGCGCGCATACTGCACACACGGGCACACGCATCACTCACTTCACTCCGACCCCCGCACACACCCCACACCCCTTCACACATGGTGGATGAGTCTTAGGACAAAGGAAAACAAGGAGTTTGACCTTTGGGGGCGGAGTCCTGCCAAGCGCCCCGAGGGGGACGGTCCCGGTCCGAGACTGTGCCCAGCCAGTCCCTGGAGCAGCAGAGGCAGGAGCTGGGCCAGGCTGCGGCCCCTGGAGCGGGTGAGGAGTTAGACTCAGGAACTCAGAATGTCAGGAAGGAGGCGGGGCAGGGGCCCTTCTGCCCCGTCTGGATCGTTACAGTATAACGATGCACTACCTTCGTCAGTTTGATACAAGCAGGGTAAAAATCACATTGTTTTCAGGCAACAGTAGCAGCCCAGTAGGTGAGTGGCTTGATCACATTGGATTAGTAGGGCATGCATGCAGCTTAGGACCGTCTCTGTCCCGGCTCTACAAGGGCCCGGCGTAGGCGCCCTCCTGCCTCCGCGCCGGCGTCTGGGGCCGGCTGGAGCTGCCGCCCGCTGGCTCGAAGGGCCGCGGGGGGCTCTGGCCGTCGGCGGGCAGCGGCTCAGGCGCCGCCACCTCCTGGATGACCGAGCCCGCGCCGTCGGCCTCCTCGCCTGCCTCGAAGGCGGCGCTGGCGGCGCCCAGCTCGGCGCTCCCCGCCTCAGTTCTCAGGCCCGCGAGCGGCGCAGCGTCGGGCCTGCGCTCGAATCCGCGCGGCTCCAGCGCGGGCGGGAAGTCGGCGTCCAGCCCCGCGGCCGCGCCCATCACCGAGCGGTACACCTCCACGCCCTCCGGCAGCATGGACTTGATCTTGGGCAGCCAGCGCTTGCGCACGCGCCGGGCGTTGGTGCACATGTCCGCGGCGATCACGTTCATCTCGCTCTCCTTGAAGCTGGGGGCGAAGTTCTGACAGTACACTGCAGCGGGCAGGCACAGGGGGACACGGTGAGACCTCCCGGCGGGTGCCCCGGCCCGACCACCCGCTTGGCAGGCGCCCCGGGCCCGCCCACTCCTGGCCCGGCGCAGCGGGCGCCCGCGGGGAGGGGACCGACTGCGGGCACCGGGCTGGGCCGGGGCGGGGGCGGGTGTCGGGGAGACGGACCAGCTCCACCCCAGCACCCAGGAGCGGGAGGCAGAAGCCGCCAAGCAGATGGCAAAGGCTCAAAATAACCTCAAAATGTAAATAAGGGGTTTTGTTCAAAAAGGAAAATTAGATCTATTTCACGTATTAAAATAGTTTCGCAGCTGAATTCATCACACTTGGAAACAGACCAAGAACATGCACACCTCGTCTCTGAGGGCCCAGCTCCCCAGTACCCCGAACCCTGCCCCTGCCGGAGCCGGGCCGCCCACTGGCCCCGCCCTGCCCTGCCCACAGACCAAGCCCCGCCCACAGCCCTGCCCCGCCCCCTCGGCTCACGTTTCACAGCGTTCAGGACGCGGCTGTCCAGCGGCTTGCGGCTAGGGTCGCTGGTGGACGAGCGAATGCCAGTACCGCAGCTGTTGGCCAGCGTGTTCCTAAGGGGGGCAGCGAGTGAGGCGCAGGTACCCTGGGTGTGTCTCTCTCCCAGGGACTGTCAGGTGGGGGCGGTAGATGTGACCTTTCTTTTTTTTTCTTTTTTCTTTTTTTTTCTTTTTTTTGCCTTTTGGATCACACCTGGCGATGCACAGGGGTTACTCCTGTCTCTGCACTCAGGAATTACTCCTGGAAGTGCTCAGGGGGCCATATGGGATGCTGGGAATTGAACCCGGGTCCGCTGCGTGTAAGGCAAATGCCCTACTCACTGTGCTATCACTCCAGCCCAGAAATGACCTTTCACCTTCATGGTAGGGCAGTAAACACTTACAGGGCCACACATGCACACACACCCCCCCACACGCATGCACATGCACACACATACATGTGCACACACGCACACATGCACACACACGGACACACATGCACACACAAACACACACACGCACACATGCATACACACACACGCGCCTGGCCCCAGACCTGTCCCAACCTTGGGACTGCAGCCCACATGATGGCTCAGAAGAGGGGCTCCAACTCTGGCAGCAGCAATGAGGCCTGCCCCTACCAAAGGAGGTGGCCAGGAGCCCTCTACCCCCACGTACCTGTCAAAGAAGGTGGCCAGGAGCCGCCTCAGCAGCACCTTGTGCTTGACCCCCGCACAGAGGTGGCAGTTCATGAGCTGACCCCGTGTGATGTAGACCCCGGAGCCTGTGTGTGAGCAAAGAGTGAAACTTGTTGACCCCTGAACAGAGATGGGCAATGACAGCCCTCAGTGCCCCGAGTCAGGGCGGGGGGCTTCCAGGGGTGGCAGGACACAGGGAAGGGTCAGAAAGTCTGACGGAAGGAAAATCGCCCAGGACCGGCCTGGCACCCGGCAGACCTGCCTGTGCCCTGGGCCGATGGGGCAGAAGGAGTCACAGGGTCGGAGCCCCATCAAGCCACGAGGGAACCGACGCATCCTGCTCTGGTCCTCTGAGCACTTCCTGAGGGTGTGGTAGTGGCAGAGGTTAGAGCTGGGCAGCCAGGCTGGAGATCGGGGTTAGGCACCCCTCACAGTCTGTCACAGCTTCAACCCCAAACCCTGAGCACCTGCCCCTCAAGGCTCCCCATAGAAGCCCCCAGAGCCCATCTGCAAGGAAGCAGTGCAGGAGTGAGCTCGGGCGCAGGGGAGGGGACACATGCTGGCCAGGGCCTGGACTCCCTTAATGGACATTCGTGGCACTTGCTCGCCACCACTAGTGGCTGGTAGTGCCCTTGGCCTTCACCTCCATTCTACAGCCACGCACCCCCCAATGCAGCCGGAATCCTGGGGCAGCTGTGGCCCTGAGACCCACCCTCAGGACAGGACCGGCCTGGCCCAAACAGGCTGTGGTGGCGCCGGAATTAAAACACCGTGATTACATGCCTTGCCAATCAGCAGCGCCATCGGCCCCAGGGATTCAATTAAAATGCTAAATTAATTCAATTGAATAACTCCTCTAATGACACATTCTTCTGGAAGAAAATCAGGGACCGGCCTGTCGCCCTGATTGGTGATGAGTTTGTCAGGGCCGCGGGAGAGACAACCATGGGCAGGGGGAAGGGGGGCTCACCTGCCACGAGCTCCAGCTTCTCTCCGGGGTCCCCCTCGGAGTAGAGCTTGGGGTGACAGCGGTACCCAATCTGGCTGATGAGGCTGGCAGGCAGGGCCACCAAGTCCCGGCGGATGAGGACACAGGAGCGACTCTCCAAGGGCGCCGGCTCCGGCTTCTCTTGCACTGCAGACACAGAACCAGCCTGTCGGGCCAGGCACAGGCACGCCCAGCAGCCCTGCCCTCTGTGGAGGGTCAAGGGGCTGGGAGAGCTGCCCCACCGCCCTGGGAGGCCATCACAGGGAAGGAGCTTCCTGGAAGTGCCCACCAGGCCGAGGCTGGGGAGCAGCTGCAGTACTAGAGAAGGATGAGGCAGACACCAAGCTGGCAGGGCACCTGCGCGGGGCTCCTGCCTCACTGTCTAGGCGTGCTGCAGACCCTGGGGGGGGTGGCGTGCCAGGAGAAGACAAGCTCGCCCTCAGCACCCAGGCCTCACCCACAGGGCCCCGAGAACCGAGCATCGCCCAGTCAGACTGGGACCACCTCCCCCCTCAGGTGCCGCCCGGGGGTGGGGGGCGGGCATGCCTGTGGGAAGTACCCCCAGCCGGATGGGGGTGCACAGCCCCTCAGCTCCGGCCCAGTCCTGACGGGCTGGGGGGCAGGGGTGGGGGAGAATCTGGGTCCCGTGGAAGATCCTGGAGCCACGCACCCCTCCTCCAGGTAGGAAGAGGCTCTCCATGTGGGGCCTCAACCCACCCCGAAGGACGGAGTAGGGGCAGGCTGACTCTTGGCTGGACCGCTCTGTTCCATGCACACTGTGACCCCAAGGCCAGGCTGGGCCATGCTGCGGTCAGGGTCTGAGCCTCCCACGGTGAGTGGCGCAGCATGAGTCCTGTGAGTCGGGGGGCACGGGCATCCCCCTGGGACATCCCAGGAGGCTGCAGTCAGGCCAGAGAGAGAACCGGGATGCTGGGGACCTGGGCATACTATTCACTCCTGTTTCTCTGGGGAATGGGGTCAGGGGTACAGTCACAGGCAGTTCTGAGGAGTCTTTCAAACCCAGAATTCTGGGGGCCCAAGGCCAGAGGAAAGCCAGCCAGCTGACATTTTATTTTAGGATTTTTTTGGGGGGAGGGGTACGCTGGGTAGTGCTTGGGGGACCATATGGAGTGCCGGGGATTGAACCTGGGTCAGATGCACGCAAGGCAAGTGCCCTCCCTGCTATACTATCGCTCCGGCCCCCAGTGGCTATTTTAAAGCACAATTACCTTCCCCCTGGATTACACAGACATGGCATGAGGCATTTGCAGTGTGCATCCCACAGAACAATCCATACACACAGATCTCAGAACAGACACGGCCCCCCACCCCCACAGCCAAACCTGTCAGCTCACACGCCCGGAGCCTCTTCTATTTCTGCACTGCTACGGGCTGCCGCCGCTAAAAATACCCCAAAGAGAGCAGCTTGTCTGCAGAGGTTCTCCCCACCTCTCCCTGCACCCCCAAACACTGCTCCTTCCAATTCACAACCCAGTTCTGGGGAACTGGGACCACAGCGCAGGGCACAGACAGGCCAGTGGGGGGTGGGGCACTTCCTGCACCCCAGGACCATGGTACATTCCTGTGTGCCCCGCTACCCTCTGGCTCTCGGGGATCACAGACCAGCTCAAAGAGGCGGGGCTCAGTGCAGGCCGCCCAGGAACTCAGTCACAACGGACAAGGCCAGGTCCCTGAGGCCAGGCGTGGAGGTGAAGGACAAGCTGGCCCGTCCTCCCTGCCTCCTGCCCCACAGCCTGGGGCTCACCAGGACATCCCGCTGAGGTCACACAGCAGCCCCGCTCCGAGGCACCCTGGCACTGTGAGGGGGACAGGGAGCTACGCTGATCGTTCCGCCGGTGAGAGAGAGAAGTGCCATACTCTCTCGGGAGACGGAGGCCAGCACACGGCACGTGGGAAAGAAGCTCATTCATACCACTGGACACAGGCCCTCCTGGCTGTCCCCCACAGGCCCTGGGCACTGCCGCAGCTTGTCCCTCTGGGTCAGCAGAGACCCACAGAAATATCAGGAAGTTGGGGTGAGGAGTGGAGCTGCTCCTGCGGCCCTGGGCGGAGGCTCGGCCCCCCAGGCTGAGACAGGGCCCCCAGGAGGCCCCGTGGTCAAAGTGAGCAACCAATTTTAAAAATGGGCAAAAGCTCTGAACAGACACTTCCCCAGAGAAGAGACAGATGGCACATTAGCACATGGGAAGATGCTCCCAGTCATTAGCCCAGAGAAAGATGCAAACGAGCCCCCACGGGCTGGGCTGCGCTTTCCTGGAAGGCTCAGGGAAACCTGCCCACGACAAGTGCAGGCAGGGCCAGGGGTGGGCGTGGCAGGGGCGTGGCAGCGTGGGGCGGGGCAGTGTGGGGCGGGGCAAGGCGTGGGGTAGGCGGGCGGGGGGGGGGCAGGGTGGGCAGGGCACAGATATCCAGATGGGAGAAGGGACCGAGAGGCCGAGCCCCCATTCAGGGCCCTGCGGAGGGTTCTCGCAGCCTCACTCACTCCGCGCACCGGGAGGCACCCTGGGCAGGGCAGGATGGGGGTGACAGCGTCCCCGGGGATCTGAGTCCCCGGGATCCCACCCTCCCGCCGTCACACTGTGGCGGAATGGCGCCGGCGGCCGTGGGCGAAGGTGTCTGTTTGTCTGGTGAAGCCGAACAGAGCGTCAGCATCGGGGAGAGCTGCAGCTGGGGATCACCAGGAATGAGCCAGGTCAGAACACCACCCGTGTGGCCACGCCCACATTTCACGGATGCTAAAAGGCAGGAGCCACTGGGTCCCAGCCTTGTCACAGGGTGAAGGCGCCTGGCAGGGGAGAAGGTGAAAAGGAAGCGGAGGGAAGTGCGGGGCACACCAGATGCCAAGGCGCCCACTGTACCAGCAGGTGTGAAGGGGCTGGAGTGCAAGGGGCCGGCTAGGGGTGTGGGTGGAGCTAAGAGGAGGTGGGGCGGGGCTGGGACGAGGGGCGGGGCAGGGAGGCCCTGGAAGGGCGGGGCTGAAGGACAGGGGCGGGGCTGGGATGTGGGAGGGACCTGGAGGGCAGGAGGCAGGTTTGGGTGGCCAGGCAGGGCTGGAGGCCATGCCTTGGAGGGCACCGCTCAGGGCCCATGACAGCAGGCAGCTCTGACTGCTGTCCCAGGTCCAGCTGACATCTGACTGTTGCCTTGGAGCTCCCTCTGGCCACTACACCCAGCACCACTGCCACTTCTGCCACCACCCGCCCATTCCCCATCACAAGCAACGCCCCCTCGACCCAGTCACCTCTGTGGCTCTGGGTCCTCCTACCCTTTATCCTTTCTAAGCCCCTTGGACTTGGCCTGGGGACAGGTAGCACAGAAGTCACCCTCGGCGCCCCGTGAGCAATGAGAGAAGCGGCCGTTGGCCATGTGTGGGTATGTGTGTCACTTGGTGTCAGGAAGACAAGCAGGGGTGGCGTGGAGGATGGGTCTGTCCCCACTGACCTCATCCTAGGAAGCACTCAGGCCTGCAGCAGGGATGCACATCCTGGGACCCAGGACAGAGACAGCAGGAGGCAGCAGGCGTGGGTGGGGTCTGGCCCATGCTCCTCTGGGAATGGGTCTGTGGGTACCCCCATGTACCCCAACTGGTCAAGACGGTACTGCCACGACTCAGTCAAGGCTGGGGCTCCACATACAGGAAAAAGGCTGGATTGTCCCCCTGAGGACAGAGAGCCTGGGGACCCGGGTCTTGGCTGCAGCTCAGCAGGGGAAGCTGGCTGGCCGGATGCAAGGAGGTGCCTCAAGCCCTGTGCCAGCTCTTCGGTACCCCCAAGCCATCTTCAGAGGCACTGCTTGGTCCACAGGGTCCCAAGCCGATTTGATGGACCACCCTTTTTTCAGAAAAAATATCCCCCAGGACCCCTCGTCACACCTGAGGCGACCACTGTCCTCTGCATCCCCAGAAGCCCTAGGGGGTGGCACTGCCACATTAGGAAACAGAGGGCCAGCATTCAAGGTAAAACACCGAATCCAAGATAATAGAAGCCAACGGCAAGGCCGCCGAGACATCAGGGCTCTGGCATCTGCCTGGCACATGGCTCACCTGGGTCTGAATCCTAGCGCCATGGGGTTCCCCAGCACACACCCAGGGGTCACTCCTGAGCACAGAGCCACAAAGAGTGCCTGACCACCACAGTGTGCCACCCCCAACAAACCCCCAGCACAGGCCAGAGATCCACGTGGAGGGGCTGTGGCAGAGAACACAGGGTAAGGGGCAGAGGGAACAGTCAGCCAGCAGCCACGGGCCGTATGAAGGACCCTCGAAGAGGAGATCCATTGGGGCAGATGGGGAGACTGTGGGCTCGGCCACAATCGCCTGGTGGAGGCCCAAAAGGACGTCAGGAAAGATGGAAGCACCACGCGGGCTGAGCCTTCTGTCAGGAGCAAACCGTGTCTGAGCACGTGGGGTGGACCCAGCCGGAGGAGTGGGGTGCTGGGCGAGCCCCGGGGTAGGGAACAAAGGCTGCAATGAGAACCTGAGTCTACACAGTGGGACTGAACGCCAGCCAGGCCGGAAGTGCCAGAGACGGCAGCCCTGGGCACTAGCCCGAGGCCAGGACACCCAACAAGCTGGCGCCACTTGGACACAACCCCAATCTCTGATGGGCAGTGGAAATGGGCACAATGTCCACAGGATTGGAGGGTTACCCTGTGTTAGCCTCGGTAGTGATCTAGTAGCGAAACTGGGAAAAGGGAGTGCAGTCGGGAAGAAGGGGTGTAGCTGGAGGAGGGGGTGTAGCCGGGAGGAAGGGGTGCGGCTGGAAGGGGTGCGGCTGGGAGGGGTGCAACTGGGAGGAAGGGGTACAGCCAGGAGGAAGGGGTGCAGTGGTTGCTTGTGGTGCTGAGCAGGATGGGGGCAAGAATGACACGCCCAGCCTGGTCATCATCTGGTAAGTGCCTGCATCACTGCACCGGTTCACGGTGACACTCAGAGAAAGAGGGTGCAGGGGCTAGAGTGATAGCATAGGAGGGAGGGCGTTTGCCTTGCACGAGACCAACCCAGGTTCAATCCCCAGCACTCCACAGGGTCCCCCAGCGCCGCCAGGAGTGATTCCTGAGCACAGAGCCAGGAGTAAGCCCTGAGCATTGCCAGGTGTGACCCAAAAAGTCAAAAATAAAGATAGCAT